TGCACATCCTTCTAGTTGCTGTATGTGGGACGCGGCCTCAGCATGGCCGGAGAAGCCGTGCGTTGGTGTGTGCCTGGGATCCGAACCCAGCCGCCAGTAGCGGAGCCCACGCACTTAACTGCTAAGCCATGGGGCCAGCCCTGTGTTTTAAAAAAAAAAATCTTGACCAGACTAAGAGGTCCCTCTCCCCTCCTGTTTCTCGGGTATATAACAGCATAAGGATTGAGTTCTGTAGACGTCAGTGGGTGCAATATCCTAAACTGGCAGGGAATTGAGCTTGTCCTGGGTGGTGTACCACCTGTTTCCCATCTGCAGTGGGGGTGGCAGTAGAAAAAGCAGCACGTGGCCTATAGTAAACGGTACCTGGTGATTTAAAGTTGAACATCAGTGTCTGGAAAACAATAAACTTCCATAAAACTTTTATTGATTAACTTGAGCAAAATGGGCTTGGTTAGAGGTTTAAACCAATCTGGGTTGGTGTTTTTAGTTTTAAGTTGCTGTAGAAAGTGGATTGATCCCCTTAATCTTTTCCAGTTGTAAAAATAGGATTCTTTGGAATCTTCTGATGAAGGAAACTGATAGTAGCTCACTATGTAGTTTGAGCTAAGAAGTTTTGAGAGACTTCTGTGGTGAACAGGGAAAATTTCCATCAGATTTCAAAAAAACTTAGTTTATACCAAGTTAAGGAATGTACCCCACCTTCTAACAGGCTGATTTTTAAAAAGTTAGTGTATATACTTTATATATTAAGCAATTTTTAGAAATTTGCACTTTTATATATATAACCTCACAGTGCATTATACCCCATTGCACTGGTACACATTTGAAAATTTTGTATATGAAGTGAATAAATTGTTTTAGAATCATAATTATGTTAACTTTCTGGAGCAGAAAGACAAGAAGCCTAAGAGGTCAACCTGGAAGTTTAGTTTGGACCTTACTCATCCAGTAGAAGATGGGATTTTTGATTCTGGAAATTTTGTAAGTATCACTCTACTCAGCTTGTTTTTAGCATTGTAGTAGAGTTCTTAATAACGATTTAAGTATGTAATACTTGATTTTAACCTAAGCTCTATTCCTAGGGTACCTTCCCTAGTGAATATCTAGGGTTTTCTTCCCTAGTTTTGCATTTTTTATGTTTTAAAATAGGAACAGTTTCTACGGGAGAAGGTTAAAGTCAATGGAAAAACTGGAAATCTTGGGAATGTTGTTCGCATTGAACGCTTCAAGAATAAAATCACAGTTGTTTCTGAGAAACAGTTCTCTAAAAGGTTGGTATTTTCCGTAATATTTTAGTGAAATTATGGTAATTGTGGAATATTTTATAGACTAATCCTGGTGTTGTCTGTTGATGTATAAGAATAGATATGTTGGTGATGAGGTCAGTGAGATATATCAAAAGTGCTTTGAACTTCAAGTCCTATATGAATGGAAAATACATTCAGTAACAGTGCCAATTACTTAGGCTACTTGTTAAGTATAATTTATTGCTGGAATACAGGCAAGTTATGTCCAGGGCTCTTGTCCAGTGAATTATAGGCCCTGTAATCCAAATTGTATATAAGCATTAACAATGTTAGGTGCTTTAGACGTGTTTCTTGCAACATATTCTAATATTAATGTGTAACAGGAGTAATGTTCCAACTTAATACAAGCATTTATATATACTTTTGAAGTTTCGGTTGTCAATTCAGTAGAGGCAGCCAATGAAAGGTAAAGTCTTAACATTGCTGCCAGTTTTAGTTCATTCGGTTGATTCAACAAATATTAAATAATTCCTCTACATGGCAGCACTGTTGTAGGGCTGGATATCCCAGCAGTGAACAAGTAAAATACTCACCACTAAGGAGCTTAAATTCTAGTGGAGAAATGAGACGATGAAATGCAATATAAGCAGTTAAGTGCTGTGTGTGTGCATAAAGAGGATTGCAGGGTTGACGTTTTTAGGTTAGGTGGTCAGGGAAAGCTTCATCTAAGTGAAATGTAGTAGTGAGCACTGCAAATTAGGGAAATAATCATTGTGGCTGAAAAAGACTGGTGGTGGAAACTGAAGACTTAGGAGCCCATTGTGGTGAGATGGTGGTGGCTTGGACTAAGGTGGTAGCAGTGCATTTTAGCTGTGTGGTTGTGAATTAATCACCAGGGATTTGGAGATGAATGGTAATATCTGTCCTCAGATGGACATGCAGATGATTATAAAATTCAATACTCTAATTGCTGTATTAAAGGTAGAGATAGGCAAGGCACAGGAATTTGTGGAGAACCTGAGAGTAAGCATATTGCCAGTGGAATGAAGTATTCCTAGCAGAGAGGGAGCAGCGTTACCAAGGGTAGGGAGGCTTGAAAGGAATGGATGGTAGTTGAGAATTGCCGTAAAGTGTAAAAGGAAGAGAATGGCTGGAATGATGAAATTGGACTGTGCTGAAAGCCTTTTTTTAATATATATAAGGACTGCCGTATGCTAGTTGCACGGCTGTTGATAATTTTGTAAATGGATTCAGCCCTGTTGACAGATTGCCTCTTGTTGATTCAACATGGGATTGCGGTTAGGGAGACTGATAGTGGTGAAGGGAATGTTGACATCTTAGTACATAATATATTTGAAGAATGAAATTATATGTTAAAAAATGTTCTGGTTTTGGCAGTAAGAGTGAAGAGGAAGCTGCTGTTACTGCTCTTCTACATACTGGCTTCCAAGAAAAAGAATATTAGTTTATTAGGGAGTGAGAGATTAAGGGTTTTGTTAGGGCATAAATGATTCTAATTGGGGTTGAGCGGTTACCTTTTTACTGGTATCCCTAGCAACCTTGCACAATACTTAATACAAATGAAGGGAAATATTTTGGAGAGAACTGAGAACACAAAGGATGAATATGATAATGTATATCTTCTGTATAATAAGCCTTTACATGGTACGTATTTCTTAAAGCTTTGTTTATTTTTTTTATTTTTAAAGCTTTATTTTTTAAATTTTCTTCTTGAGGAAGATCAGCCCTGAGCTAACACCCATGCCAATCCTCCTTCATAGTAGGTATTTCTTAATGAAATTCATGTTTTTATTTTAAAGGTATTTGAAATATCTTACCAAGAAATACCTTAAGAAGAACAATCTTCGTGATTGGCTTCGTGTGGTTGCATCTGACAAGGAGACTTATGAACTTCGTTACTTCCAGATTAGTCAAGATGAAGAGGAATCCGAGTCTGAGGACTAGATGAAGCTGCTCCTTAAAGGGCTTTGCTTACTAATAAAATAAATGAAGCATACAAGAGAAAGAAACATCTAGAAATGGACATTTAGTTTATTGGTGAATAAAAAACATTGTATTCTGTGTGTTCAGCTTCTGTCTCTTTAAATGTATGCTGTTTACATAATGCTGGCTTTCCTTAGTTTCTGAAAGCAATATTTAAATAATTTATAGCTAGTGGAACTTTTCCCAGGATTTCTAAAATTTATTGCTTTTATGAATGTCCTCAAGTTAAAGTGTTGTATAGGAAATAATAAAGCACAATTTTGGATGTAACTTTATATAATAAAATATTTAAAATTCTCTTGACCGTCTTAAATATTTTTGTACAGCTTGTAAATGCAAATGGCAAAATCTAGATTGTAGGTGAAAGGAGAGAATAATGGGAGGGGAAGTACTAGAGCCATATCTATTTATTGGTTTTCTGGTGATCCCAAGTACTTAGATCCCTAATACCAGTAGAATCATGTTGCCAAATAGGTCTTGACTATTCAGACCTAGTACACAGGTTTACATAATTGGTTTTCGGAGTGTTGGAAATAGTAATTTCATTAAGAGTTTTAATTCTCTTGATTATTTTAAGAGCTTGTTTAAATGCTCCCCAATGTTAATGTACTGCTCTGGTGCAGCAACTCCTTGGTTCTTGCTGACAATTGTAATAACTTCCTAACAACTCTGCCTCCTTCTTTGAATTGTTCATGTTTTCCACCAGTAGTTACTGAGATCCTACTGTGCCTGCTCTGCCAAGCATTGTGGATACAATGGAGTAAAAACATTCAGCCTACTCTGGGATGGTGAGGGAAACACTGACCAAACAATAACAAAAAGCTGTTCGGTGCAACAAAGGAGGAGTTCATAAAAGGAATTTGATCTAGTCAAGGCGGGCAACTGAGGAAATGTCTGAGCTGACCTGGAACAGGAACGGTAATATCTGGGTAAAGGGAAAAGGGTGTTCCAGGCAGAGAGAACAGCATAGGTCAAGTTCTCAGGACATGGGGAATCTGGTTGGCATAGAGTACATCTGGAATAGAGTGATATGAAGAATCTGGAAACGTAGGCAGAAATGAACCCATGCAAGACAGAAGTCCATGTTTTAATCTGAACGTTAAGTTGAGGGTAGTGTGATCAGTGAGATGTGCGTTTTGGAAAAGATTGGTGGCTGCATTGTGGAGAATGGTATTGAGTGGGGTCGTGTTGGATGTAAGAGGCAGTCTATGACAGTATCCTGTGGATGATGGTAGATAGGACGGATGTTGGAGATGGGGAGAAGTAGATGCTAGAGATTTTTCAAAAGATAAAATCTGTGGGACTTGATGGACATTGGTAAGGGAGAAGTGTCAAGGGTGACACAACTGGCTAGATGGTGGTATTTGCTGAATTTGATCACAGTGGAAGAAGGCAAGAGTAGGGGAAAAGTTCAGTTTAGGCAATGCTGAATTTGAGGTCCAGGAGATTTCAAGCATGACGTTGAATATATGGGTCTAGAGCTTAGAGGAAGGATCTAGGTGATGTCTGCTAGTCTGCTGCACATAGGCAATTTCACCCACACCCAGTCTATTACTACCTGTTGAGAGTCTAGAGTGAGGATCAAGTGTTGGGAACACCAACACTGCTTCCTTCATTCCTCCTCTAGAGTAGTCTTTGAAATACATCTGGTCGTGTTTTTCACGTGTTTAAAATTCTTCAAAGTTAATTTAACATTGTGTTCTAGGGCCTGGGTACGCTATGCCTAGTAAGATATGCATGCCTTTAAGGAGTTGGCAGGTTAGTTGAGACAAGTAAATTCATTTATTTAATAATTTACTGAGAGCCAGCTACGTGCTCAGATATGGAATACTGCAGTACAAACTAGAAACGCTTGTCTTTGTGAAGCTTATACTCCAGTGGAGGAAGATGGATAATAAAGTAAAATGTAAAATAAAGGTACGTGGTGGTAAACGCTATGAAGAAAAATAAGGGAGTTAGGGAATGTAGGGAGGAAGGAGTGTTACACTTGGAAATACGGTCAAGAAAGACTAGTGAAAAGGGCTCATTTGAGTCAAGACCTAAAGGAGCTGGTGGATCCAACTAGATATCTGGAGGAGAAGCATCCAGGCGTAGAGAATAGCGGAACAAAGGCCCTGAGGCAGGAATGCTGCTGGTATATTCAAGGAACAACAGAGGCCTCTGTTAACTGAGCTAAATGTGTGATGGAGAGTAGAATGAGGTGAAATTAGAAGGGCGAAGGGGTACGTGAATGTGCATGGGGAATGGGGAGTTGGGTTTATTAATCCCATTACATCAAAATGTAGCAGCTTAAAACAATTTCTCTTAGTTTCTGAAGATCAGGAATGTAGGGAGCAACTTAGCTGAGTGATTCTGGTTCAGGGTTTCATGAGGTTGCAGTGATGCAAAAGTTAGCAAACTGCTGCCTGTTTTTGTAAATAAAGTTTTGTTGGAACACAGTCGTGCCCATTATTTTTCTTATTGTGTACAAGAGCAGAGTTGAGTAGTTGCAAAAGGGACCATATGACCTGCAAGGCCTCAACTATTTACTATCTGGCCCTTTAAGAAAAACTTTCCCTTAGGCTTCACTGGAGCGGGAGGATAGGCTTCCAAGCTCACTCGCAAGGCTGCTGGTAGGAGAATTCAGTTCCTTGCCAGGTGGACTCTGCATGGGGCTGCTCATGCCATGGCAGCTGGTTTTACCCAGAGCCAGTGATCCAAGTGAGAAGGAGAAAGCAACCAAGATGGAAGCTGCAGTATCTATGACATAATCTCAGAAGTAACATGCCATCACTTCTGCTTTATTCTGTTGATCACACAGACCAACCTGGAGCAGAATGGGAGGGGGTCGCACCAGAGTTGAACACCAGGAGGTGGGGATCAGTGGGGGCCATCTTGGAGGCTGGCTACTACAGGGGATGTCAAGTAGGGAGAGTTTTGTAGGCCGTTGTAAGGGCTTCAGCTGTTTTTCTGAGTACTATGATGAGCCACTGATAGACATGAGCAGAGAAGTGTCATGATCTGACATTTTAAATGAATGATGATAGTGGAGGACTTTGTTAGTCTAAGAAGTTATAGAAATTCTCAATCAGACGGCATTCTGGGCAGGTGACTTCACAGTTTGGAAGCTGACTATTCTGAGGGGCTGAGAGTTTCTCAGATTTTCTTTGCCTTGCAAGGTCTCTGTATCAACTGGAAAGTTTCGTTTTTAACTTTATTTTTTTAACTTTTTGTTTATTATGGAACATTTCAATTATATTAAAAAGTAGAGAAAACTTGTTTAATCTATATTCCTATCTATTCCCCACACCTCCAGATTATTTTAAAGCAAATTCGTGTCATATCATTTCATCAATAACTTCTGTTTGTTTCTCTAAATTTTAGTTTCTAAAAGATAAGGACTCTTTAAACGTAACTACCATACCATTAACACACCTATAAGAAATTAACAATGTTATTCAATGTCTAATCAGTGTTCAAATTTTCTCAAATATCTCATAACTTTTCTTTCTTTGCTGAGGAAGATTTGCCCTGAGCTAATATCTGTCGCCAATCTTCCTCTTTTTTTTGTTTGAGCATGGCCGCTGATGAGTGGTGTAGGTCCATGCCCGGGAACCGAATCCTGGCTGATGAAGTGGAGTGTGCCGAACTTAACCACTAGGCCACCGGGGCTGGGCCCTCATAACTTTTTAACTGTGCAAATCAGGTTGTAATAAGGTCCATGTGTTGCAATTAAGTGATATCTCTTAAGCCTCCTTTGATCTAGAGATTCTCTCCCCTTCCCAATTTATTTGTTGATCAAATTGGGTTATTTGTCCTGTAGGATTTCCCACAATCTGAATTTTCATGATTCCCCACCCGCCAGCCCCAGTGGTGTCATTTAACATATTTCTCCATCCACTGGGTTTCCTGTGAATTGCTAGTTAGATGTAGAAGCTTGCTCAAATGCTAGATTCAGGTTTGATTTTTTTGGCCAAAATACTTATAGGTGTCATTGTGCACATCTATTAAGAGGTATATAATATTTGCTAATGTTTCCTCTTTCATCACATTAGCACCACTGATGACCACTACCTAGATTCATCATTTCCCTAGGGGTTGCTGAATGGTGATACTCTAATTCTATAGTTCTATCTCACTTGTTGGTTGGAATGCCTCATAAGAGGTACTGCCCTTCATCAACCCTGAGGTACAGTTCTTATAAGAAAGATAGGATAAGTGCTTGCTGCTTTTCTTTTATGTACTAATTTTTCTTGTTAATTTCCAAGCAGATATCCTCTAAAAAGGTGATCAATGAAGGGTTTTGTTTGTTTTTTGGTTTTGTTTTAGTTAGTTTTAGTATCATACTGAACCATTGTGTAAAAATATTTGGTATTTACTAATCCATTGTAATTACTTTATTGATATTCAAATGGTCCCAACTTTGGCCAGTGGGAACCTCTTCAGCCTGGCTCCTGAGTACTTTTGACATTACCTGATTAGTGGTTTGTTGCTTCCTTGATTTCTAGTATGATAAGATGTTCCAGGCTCTTCCAAATTTCCTTCCCCAGATCTGGAATCATCCATTTCTCCAAGGAGCTCTGGATCATGTTCTAGGTGCTAGAGGTGCTCATTGCTACAGGGTTGGTCTAGGCCTTTTCAAAGCAAGGAAATACATTTTTGTTTTTCAAGAGAAAATACTTAACGAGTTTATACTGATGCTTCCAATTCAAATTCAGAATGACAGGATTTTTACCTCATCTATTGTATAGCCATATTTCCTTTTTATAGGCTGAAAATTTCAATGACACCAACACAAGTACTCATTTGCTTTATCTCACGATACACACATAATAGTCTCAAAAAAGCAATACCAAGATTACTTTCTATAATATCACTATTTTGCAGTTTAAGACTGTTTTGCAGTTCCTTTTGTCCTTATGGTATATCCCACTAGGAACGAACAAAGTCCCACGTTTTAGATTCACTGGAAATGAGGTACCTCTCTGTGGTTATGGCACAAACTTGATACACGTTTGTGTATCAAGGTTAATTTGTTTCATTTTACTTTTGATTTTTAAAGTTTGCTTAAAATCTTTTTGTTTTGTAATTCT